ACCCTAGTAGCTAAGATCCTTTCTAGTAGCTCCATCATAACTCAGTCATTCTTAGGGGAATTTACCAAAATACTTTTACACGTAATTTACAAGTTTTAATGATCTTAATTTATGGCAATAGCATGAATCGCTCTGCACAGCAGATAAATGAGAACACACTGAACTGCATACAATAAATAGTCCAACCCACCTACCCCAAGAGTCATTTCAGAGCAGGGGAAACAGAAAAGCTGCTGAGTATTTTTGTTCTCAAAATTATCCTAAAGTATCAAGACAAGTTTAGAGGCTGAAATACATAACTTTTCAGTCAATCATTTTACATTCAAACTACTATGAATATTTTAAAGGAAATTTCAGGAAATTCATGTAGACAGTGGATTTCCAAATCAAACAAAAGTACTAACTCTAAGTTTCTGAATGAATGTGTGCAATTGAATAATGATTTAATCGTCCCTTTTCAAGTTGCTGTGCCTTGCTGGTGGGCAAAACAGAGAGAAATGCAGAAATAAATAAATCAACAGAATAATTAGTAAAAAATTGTATAGTTCGTCGTATAACTATAAAAAGGAACCACACAACACAACAGCTGGCAGCCTTTGATTAAGCCTAAGGTCTCCTGACAATAAACCAGGCTACTGACACTTAACTGACATGCCAGCATCGACAGTTTGAGAGAAGAGACCTCTGGGAATTACAGAGGATTCTAAAAACGACAGAAGAGAAGCTCAAAACTCAGTAAGATCAGAAAATAAGACAGATGTACATCTCATAACCAAAAAAGGAAAAAGATGAGTATTTAAGACTGTAGCAAGCAAATATTTATTTACTCTAAATAAAACTGACTTCCTTAAAAGCATTGTCTCTTATCTTACCAAATACCAGGGCAATAGTTCCACAATGATTTTCCCTCAAAACTACCTGTCATGTTAAAATTACAATGCAGAAAAACTTAAAACACATTTTAGAAGTAACTACAAGTAAGTGTGAAAAATGCTATGTTTTTTAGTAATATTTACCTCATGTTCTTGGTTATCTTGTCCATCTTTGCCACTTTTTCCACTCTTGACTGATTTTGCAGGTTCCTTAAAAAAAAGTTTGCAGTTTCAGGTTTTTTCTTAAAAAAAGGAGATCTAGATAGATTTGCAAGTCTTTTTTAGACACTCGCTGAAAATAATAAAATTGGCAGAATAAAAATTATACTCTTTAACTGGAAGATGATAATATCGAACTATAAGTCTCTACAAAGGCACTTTAAACATTTGGTATCTGAAGAAAGACTTTGTAATTTTATTTATGCCTCAAAACTCACCTATAAAGACAAGCTTTCACACAGGTAAGCAGGCAGGGATAAAAAATGCAAGTGATTCGAACCTAAGTGATTCTAAGAAATTACTTAGTTCTACTACCTTGCTGTGTTTGATTTTTTGGTTCAGAAACATTTATATTTCCTTTAGCTTTGAAACTAGCATCAGTATAGTACACATTTTATACTTTATTATTTTGTCTGTTCTAAGGACTAGAAAGTCTAGTGTTAGAAGTGGGCCCACAAATCAATTTTCTGCCTCACAGCATTGTACTTACCTTGAATCCTTCACCCATTTTTGAGATTTGGTACTCCGAGAAAAGTGAAAAGCTTCAATGTTTTCAACATGGAAAGTGCCAAGGATATTGGGAAAATTTTAAAGCAAACAACCCCCACAAACCACAACACTCAACCTCCCTACATCTAATTTTAAAATGACGTTGACAAACTAAAAGCCAAACAGAAGTGGTCGAGAGGGGCAGCAGCTGCCTGAGGCAGACAGCACACTTCACTGTTTCTGACTTCCACTCATGGCTAATTGCCTATCACACAAAATAAAGAGTAATTCAGCTAACTTCCTGCCGGATTTACAAGTTTTCTGCGATCGTAACTTGTGCAAGCCCCTTTCGTAGCCGCCAGACAAATCACTCCCTGGAGCCTGAGGCAAAGCGGGGCCAAAGCCAGGTTCATTCTACTGTCAGGAGAAGGAGCTGAAAGACTCCGAGGGGCGATTAGTGCTCCTTGAATACTTATGGAGATCCCCCAAGCACAACTCCCACTACAGCCAGAGCTACGCAGCAGCGAAACTTTCCAGGACGGGGCCCGGGCAAGTAGCCGTGGGGACAGACCCCTCATCTTGCCGTGGAAATAGTCCCTTCCCCCTCCCCAACGCCCCCGG